GCGCGCCATCTTGTCGGAAGAAGACAATCTCTGTCTTCATTTTAGCCGCGATGACGTAGACGGTCCTTTAACTCGTCGGCACACAGCCAAGGCACTGCAGGGCGCAACAACATAATCGATATTCACAAAAGAAGGTACAATTTATTTATCTTGCACTTTTTAGACGTAGGGAAAATTGCTGTGATGAAGATTTTAAGTTCCTCCTGTGGCAAAACAGTGATGGCTCCGTGAATGGAATTTTATGAAGTGCGAGGTCGCAACCGACTGGAAGAAATTTATGATTAAAACCCCAGCGCGACGTGAATATCTCTATTGAACTAAAAATAAACATTCTATCGTACTCCTGGCATAGAATTATAGCAACCGTCAGCAAATTGCATGCCTCAAGGCCATGCGGCTCCAAGTCAACAGTACGCCATTGCTAGCCTTGTTACGTTTCGAGTACTGAGCGTCTTCACTCGCCTGTGCTCCACTGTTTCTGTTACATCCGTGAACGATTTTCCTGTGACTTTGAAGAATGTAATTTGGTGACATACTACGGATGCGAAGGGCACATGAATGAAGCAAGCATCAAGGTTGACTGCTCATACTAGAAGATAAACCAATGCAACAAACTGGCAACCATCGCCTCGTGTTTCTATTGGGCGAGGATGAGGCACGCATGACTGTCGCCTCGCGGCCTGACTGACAGACAAGTGTTTCGGCGTAGCTACTCACACAGAAATTTCGTATAATCTGAAAACCGAAAAAGCAATTTTTGACTTCGTGGGTTGAGCAAAATATTTTAAGAGGTGACTTAATTTCGTCTGGGGACGAAGAAACTTACGTTATGGAAACGTGGCTGGCACCTAATTTCTGATCGGTAAAGATGGAATGAGTGATAATGTTGTTCGTCTGGGTCTAGACTCGTTGGTAGACGACAACGTTTCGGAGAAAGATACTGTCTCCATCTTCAGGGCTGAAGTGGCAATGCTAACCAACCAAAAATGTAACTAACGGCGGAGTGTGCGCGCACGTACCCTGAAAATGGAGACAACATGTCTGTCTGAAATGCTGGCATCGACTTATGCTTCTACACGTTGCCAAAACCCACAGAATCATCCACACTGCCTTCAAAACCCAACACACACTTTTATTTTCTTTCTAATTATGACTACCTGCAACAGATTCTCTGATAAGGAACTTCATTAGTTGAAAGTAAATTGATAACGATATTTGTAAATGTAAATGCCTCTGATTTCATTAAGGTTGACATGAAATTATTACACACGGAATTGCTAGTGACTAGGGGAGCTCGCTGAACACAAGGACATTCTTCTGCCAGGCTGCATACACAGGTATGACAAACATACTGTGACGTGTTGCCGTGAGAGCAGCATAACTATGTCAATAAACAGTTTAGTTGTCTGTTTATTGACATTGTCGCGTCTGGCACTGTTGTCTGTTTATTAACATTATTGGGTTTGGCATTGTTGTATTCTTTTATAGACATTGTTGTATTTGGCATTGTCGTATTCGGCATTGTTGTCTATTTATAGGCATTGTTGATTTTGGAATTGTTGTATTCGTTTATAATTGTTGTGTCTGTTTAATGACATTGTTGTATTTGTATAAAAGCAGATTGCGCAGGCCTCCGCCCTCAGTTAGCTTTTTGGTTGGTTGGTTGCTTTAGAGTGGTTGGAAACGGAGAGTGTTGAAGAGTGGTTGGAAAAGGAGAGTGTTGGAGGGAGTATTGAGAGAGTGTGTGGAAAGAACAGAGCTGTGAATCGGGCGTAAGAGAAGTGTGTGATGGAGTCGAGTGAGTGGAGCCAACGAGAGGTCTGGTGTGGCGCTGAGAAAGGACAGGTCGGCTACGTGTGAGCAAGCATCGGGTACGTGGACCGTGGCGGCCGGGGAGGCAGCGTGTGTCCAGTGGGGTGCTACGGGCCGATGTGTAAGCGAAGAGTGTGAAGAGCGCCGAACTCGAGGGACCAGATAGACTCGGAGGACAAGAGTGTGTGTGTGTACAGAGACTATATTCTGGTTCTGACGTGGTGAAGAAGAAAGGCACTGTAAAGCAAGACTGGATATGCTGATGTTGCAGCTATAACTAAAGGAGTTCAGACATTAAAAATCCCAAATAGGGCAGGTTGTGGGACTAAAGGAAGAAAAACTGTAGTAGAAACCAACTATTTATCATTGGACTTGTCAACGCTTCGGAACAAAATTGCAATTCATTATGATGTGGAATTTAAACCTTCACCATTTCCAAAAAGACTTTTGAGACGTGCAATGGAAGAATTCAGGCGGAGAAACTTTCCTGATCGATATCCAGCTTTTGATGGGAGGAAAAACTTGTACAGTACTCGAGGGCTGCCAGAGAAAACTGATAGTTTCATGGTGTATGATCAAGAATCTGTTAGGGTTAAACAGTGTGAGATTACTATCAAATACACATCTCAAGTTAATTTGGGATCCCTCTCTACATATATGAGCAGTGAAAGTACACTGGAAATCCCACAGAAAGCTATTCAGGCTGTGGATGTTGTGCTGCGCAATGCAACATCTTTGAAATGGGTTTGTGCAAGTTGGACGCTCATTCTTAACTCTTCCAAGAGGTAGAATTTTGAAACTCGGTGATGGACTAGAAATGTGGTATGGAGTGTTCCAAAGTGCCACTTTGGGCTGGAAGCCATCTGTGAACATTGACGTGACACATAAAGGTTTTCCATCACCACAAAATGTTGTGGATGCCATTTATGAAATCTGCAGACCTCAAGATGACAGTGAAATGAACTACAATCAGAAGGAGGATTTCAAGAGCTATACCCGTGACTTAAAGGTTGATTTCATGATCCCTAACAATCCAACCAGCAAGCGAATAAATCAGGGTTGACAATCAGGGTAGCAATGCTGCCCCACGTTACAATACCTTCACTGGACATACAGAGTGTACAGAAAGTATTAAGTTTATAAACGTAACTCCACGGGTCTTTTATTTTACCCCCAAGCCATTACCTACAGTATTCTGCAATCCCACCTGACACAGAACTGCATTAATTAAAGAACATGCAATCCAAACAAAACAATTACTTTGCCACCAGCCCTGCTTCAATAGCGATATTCGTGGACAGGGTTCAAGCACAGTATGAATATCTGTCTGTATGTGAAAATAATTTATTTACATAAATATAAATTAAAAGTGAAGTGCAATGACATTTAGCTGGAACAAACGTCTGTCAACATTACAACAGCATCAAATGTGACACAGTAATGAGATTCACAACCAAACATCACATGTTCCATCTTACTGATGAAACTTTTTAATATATCCAAATACATAAACATCTTAAATACATGTTTGTATCTTCTATTGGTCCACAAATAAATATATAATCACTATTTACATAAATTAAACATTCACATCATTCAAAAACACGACTGTACATCTCAGATTTAATTAAAAATATTTGTATACCAAACCTATGAAAATTATTTACCAGATGCTAATAATGTCCAACAGTGGGCACACAGTTTATACAAATATCGCAGGCTAATCAACAGACAAAATATAAAGATTTATAAATGGAAGAGAAACATGTGCGTACAGGACACGCAAAACTGAAGATTCTAGGTCTCCCAGAATTGTTTAATATTGCTAGAAGTAACTTCATTATGTGAATTTAAATTACTAAAACAGCCAAAACTCTATGACCAATGAAAAATGAACAGTAATATGCAGATAAGCTCCACCTTAAAATGGGCCATTCATCAAGGTCAAAACAGAAGTAGCAAGTTCTAGCTGCAAAATATATAAATTACTTACCAAAATCACTTGCAAAGATTAGGCCTAACACGTTCCTTTACACAAAATATGAAGTCCTCACTGCTATGAAGATGGTAACCTTCGTCCTCTGCTGCTTTCTTCTTATTATCCGACTGTTTAGTCGACCTAGTGACTAAATGAAATTTCCAGTTCTCGTGGAAGAATACAAAGATGCTGTCTTCTGGGCACTCACACCATGCAGCCTGGTAGAAGCTTACTGTTTCAGAGATACTTACTGCCTCCATCATCAGGGCAACAAGTAATCTTACTCACTGCCCTGACAATGGAGGCAGAAGTGCCTCTGAAACATTGGTAAAAGTCCACTAGACTCTCTGGCATAATGACCCTGAATCTTACTTAATTACCATATATTTAGCACTCAACAGGCAAGTAAAAAGGAAAACTGTCAGGCAACATCAGGGCAAGCATGAATTTTGAGGTATTTTGCAGATATTTAACAAACTGTCAGTTTGCCCACAATATGAAGTTCAGTTAATTTATGCAGAATCTTCAGTTTTGAACTCCTCTGACAAAATGTGCATCAACAATTCTACATTTTAATTCACAAAAATACCTATTTTCAAACAGACTTGCTCACCTGTGCGAATAATGTGCATCTTTCACAGCCAAGCTCATCTGAAATGTTAATCTGGCAATAAATATCCTGATAACCTGATTAAGATGACTAAAATTTGACAAAAATTAATTATTCACATTTCTATTTTCACATACCAGTATGTTTACCAAAATGAGAAAGAGTATATTTAGTAATAAAAATTATTTATCAAAATAACTAGCAGTACAAATTACACAACTGTGCTGATTACCTAAATGCAACGTTACACTACGTACAGCGGCTCTACAAGCAGTCGCAATTTATAATTTCTCTCACAAATCCCAAATAAACTAACACAATTAAACAGCATGAAATGTTCCAAAAAAGCAGAGCTTCCAAATCCTCGAATACAGCAAAAACAGAATCAACCTCTTCCGAGAACAAACACAGCTCAGCAACGAAAATATCGTAATGCAAACATTCAAACAAGGGCAATCAGCGGTTTTAATTCCAGTGTCGTATCATCTTACTGGAATACCAAGATCCTCTACACAGCACGTGGAAAGACACAGCAAAGTCAGTTCTCAAAATGACAGGAATGGACAACAGCCAACTTTTCGCTACGCCTGCTATACCTAAACACTTACCTCCACTTTGTAATAATCTGAGAGCAGAGACATCACACTTTGTAGCACAAATATCACAAATTATCATCACACTTTAATTTGGGTCTGATTGCTAATGATCATGGTTTGAAAACTCTCACTCATTACCAATCAAATATGAAATTGATTAATTTCTCTTCAGTGACCATCATCAAAACATGCCCCAACTGTAATGATTGGAAAATATTTGATACATAGCAATCCTCACTCATACAAATGTACGTTAGCGCCAAGGCGAGTACGATACAGCCGATCGCTAAAATCTGGATCAGTATTTCGATGGGCACATTCAATTATTCGAGAGAAAAGTGAACAGTTGCACAGCGTGTGAAGGACTCATTACGCGTGGTTTCTCTTTTAAGTACACCAGCACACTGCAAAAAGTCTAACTTGAAAAACAGTATAACAAATTTCACAGGAATCCAAGCAGATAGTCTATGCAATTTTTGCAACAAGCGGTAATGGAGTTCGATTAAGTTTGACCAGATAATAACACAAACAAAAGCAATGAAACACATGTGAGGTACACACGATCATCTTATCAGTACCACACAAGATGACCAGTGCACTGCACTGTCGTTTCTGTCATTGAGGTAAAGATTTAATGATAACGAAGATACACGGTGATGTTTCTGTCCATAGGGATGCCATTCATGGTGACACATCATCAAAACAGTATCAACTAACCTGATATCAGCTACAAACCTGTCCAACTGATGGCTACAAAACATTTTTTGTGAGTTTCAATTACATTTAACATAATTTCTTTTCCTTCTTTAACATACGAATACATGAATATAACGCTAGAATAATAAGGCAGTGATATCAAATATCTTAGTGAAATAATGAATGTTAAATATGACATCAGGTGGCATCCCTAAAAATCATGGAAACTTGCACTCCACTTACTCTTTATGGTATGGCCTCCAGACAGTCTCGAATGTGTGTCCAAGTCTGCAGACCCTGCAAAATGTTACACACGCTGGTTACGACAGGCAGACAAACAGTGTGAACACTTTCTGGGTTAAAGAATAATGGTCATAATTTTAAAATACGGAAGAGGATGGCAAAAAGGGGTTCTATAATGGCAATATTTCCGTAACATTTGAGTACCTCAGTAATATTCTGGCAGTCAACTGGTTTCATAAAAAAAATTACAAGTACAGCCATTTCAGTATCATCTAGGAAATTTAAACAAAGACAATTTATGTATGCACAAACAACAACAATAATAACTGACATGCCACTGAGAAAATGGGAACAAAAGAGAAAGGATGGCTTTCGCCTTGCTTATCAGCATTAAAGCTTTATGTCCCATAGGAAAGAGCCGTAACACCTGCCAGACACCAAGACGGGTGGGCCCAGATCTCAACACAGCAACAACGAAAAAATTCCTGCCTCTGCCAGGAATCAAACTAGCTAACTGATAACAGCATAAGAACGCTACCAGCTGCTGCATACATAATAAAAGATTTTTGCTGAAAGAAAAGAACAACAACTGTACAGGCATCCAACAAACCAAACATGAATGGTAAATATTTCAGGATGACAGCAGACTGCATGCCATTAATTCACACTGCCTGATCAACTCATAATATAATCAAACCAAATTCTGGCAGAAGTGAGAATTGTAAAAGTAAATATGAAGAACGTCTATGTTGGAATAAGTCAGCTGGTGGCCCAACTGCATCACTGCTACCGCACAATGAATATAATAGTACCACATCAAATGAAATTGTTTTGCAATCATATCAAACTACTCTATATACCTATTAAGATCATCCATCACTCATCTCTGAAGAATTCCCAGTCTAAAAGTAAAACGCAGCAAAAGTTTGGAAATACCGCAAAGAGTATTACAGTGATTCATAACTCATACCAATAGAGTAATAAGGAGATGGACTGCCATACCTTCCGACACATTTTGATCTGGAGAACCACATAGCCTGCCAATGTTTCACGAAGATCCAGAACCTTCTGTTGCTGGAATCTTTCAATATCAATTAAAGCTTCCCTCGAAAATTCACTGGAAGAAAAGGAAGACAATCATAAAACACTATACTAAATTGAACAAGTCAGTACTTTGAAGTTTCCCTGGTACAATGAAATGTTCAACAGCATTCTGTAGAAAAATGAATACTTCAGTGATGCGGAGGATTTAAATGCAAACTACTGCTCATGGAAGAGAAAATTTAAACTTCACACTCCCCTAACAGCAGACACTCTTTAAAGTCTGAATACATTTTGATCTAATGGAGACAAATTGGGGAAATCTTGAATAACTTCTCCTATCTACCCCTCCTCACTTGACAAAAGACTGGAACTGCACAAACGATAAGTTAGCTACTCCTGGCTGGAAACATCAAAGGCTCTACTAGCAAGCACCCAGTTTAGTTGGGCCTAGGATGGCCTAAAAGGTGAGTCCTGTTTGACTAAATTCCATTTTCTTGGGGATTTTAAATTTGACTCTTTTAGGCTTTGACTCTGTTTTGGGCTTGCCTCCAGTGCCTTGGTTGTTACACATTCTTTGAACTGTGTGAATAAAATCAATGCAAACAGGGCTGGTCATGTATGTATATCTGCATGATTCAACTTGAGAACTGCTGGACAGATTTGAATGATATTTGGTATAGATATTATGCAAATGGTAATGGCCCTAAAAGTAATACCAACATGGTGGACTAACAAACTTGAGAGGTAGGGTCAACACTAGTGCCACTTGCAATATGGCCATACAATAATATATGGCTACAGATTTTTGTAAAATACAAAATTTTGGTGTAGTAACTCTTTGTACAATGTAAAATAAAAAAACATTGTGGCTGCACACATGCAGGGAAAAAAACAAGATTTAATCTCTCTCCACGCGTGTGAGTGCAGTACATTACCACAGAACTAACACACCTTATGCTGTATTGATACTGATGTTTAATTACAGAATACATTAAGATCACATTATTTGTATTGATGGAAAAAGTTGTTTAATTATGATAAGAGATGCAATCTTTTAGTAATAATTCAGAATTTGTAAAGATGCACAGTGTATTCTGGTACAAATTATACCCTTCCAGTCTTGTTTTAAACAGACCTGACATGCTGTTCCCTAATATTCTTCAGAATATCTAATTTTGTATTAGGTATCACTGTATTACGAGGTGCGATCGGAAAGTTTCAAGACTGTGTCAATAGCAGGCGAACCGAATGTAGTACGAGCTTCTGCCGATAGGGGGTGCGGCCTACATTCATAGTGAATCAGTGTGCCAGCCGGCATCATCGAATTAGCATTTGTTTCTTAGTTACGGGCGTTTTGGTAGTGCATTACACCGACCCTCCTGCAATTTCGGAATGGCGTGTGCATCAAATTTTGCCAAAGACTCGCCAAAACGGCTACGGGAACCTATGAAATGCTAAAGCAAGCATTTGGGGAGTCCGCAATGGGTCGTGCACAAACGTTTGTGTGGCATTCACGTTTTAAAAATGGCCGAACCGCTGTCGATGATGACGAGCGTTCTGGACGACCATCTTCGAGCACAACGCCCGAAAATGTTACGAAGAGTCGGCAGGCCATTCACGAAGATCGACGTCGTACCATAACGACTTGTGCGACATTGTTGGGACCTGTCAGCTGATTCTAAAGGAAGAACTCCACATGCGAAACCAAGGCTCCTGTCTGAGGACCAGAAGCAGAATCGACTTCTCGTTTGTCAGGAGCTCAAAGATCTTGCAAGAACCGACCCCAACTTCCTTTATAAGCTCCGTGTGACTTCTTCCTCTTCCCAAAGATGAAAATTCAGCTAAAGGAAAGGAGATTTGAGACGATAGAAGAGATTCAGGCAGAATCGCAGATGGTGCTTGACAGGCTGACAAAGAAAGATTTCCAGGGATGCTTCCAGGCTTGGCAGCGGCGCTGGGATCGTTGTGTTCACTCCCAGGGGAACTACTTCGAGGATGATGGATGAATTTAATACCTGAGATAAGTGCACGGGTTTTTATACGCGCAGTCTGGAAACCTTCCGATCGCACCTCGTATAATCTGCGATAATCAGAAAACTTGCAAAACATGGCAAACGTTTAGCACGAGGAATGATCATCGCACGGGTTTTTATAGGCGCAGTCTAGAAACTTTCCGATCGCACCTCGTATTGTAGATTACTGCTGGCTAGATAAGAATATTTTGTAACTGTGGCCAATGACAAACACCACCAATTTTTAGTATTCATGGTTCTACCAAAGAAGCCTACCATGTGCCAGAGACTCTTGCTGTTTACTTATTTTGTTAGTTAAGTATATACAAACAATGGGTTCTGTGACAACTGTAATTGCCAATTCTTTGTAAATTAAGTTCCCCTGGGACAACCCTGGGTTTCAATTCGGTTTGTAAGAGTGAGAGTTGTGGGTGGGCTAGACCTTTTTGTTCCCTCATCCACCACATCCTTACAAGATGCGAGATCCCAAACCCAGAGAGCCACATTGGACTGTAAAATTCTTTACTTGTTTGATTTTACAACAGTCTTACTAAAGTAGACCTGCATTTATGGAAGACCAAATATTTAAATACCTGACAGCTGCATGGCATGGTTCCTTTCAAATGTCCTTTGTTATCAAAGGGTGAAGTAAAACAAAGTAGGCTAAAAACTAAACGTACTTGAGTTCCTCTTGAGCATTGAGGATGCTGTTCTTGCCCTCCTGAATTCTCTGGTCAATGAGATTCACCTTTAGTTCACGTACCTCTTCTGTATCCACACTCCCAAAGAGACGTGACATCAGTCCAAACTTTCCTGTGGAATGTATAAAGAGATCACATGCATAAACACAAGATGCCAAAAAGATTTTGAACTGGTTTCCCATAAATCATCTCAGTGTCAGTGATAACGCGGACCACTCCCTCGCCTGATTCTGATACCAGACCTCACTGGCCGGGGTTAGGCTCTTCCTTAACTGTCAGTTTCCTGTAACTCTAGCGTTTCCACTCGTGCGGCTTAATCATCGCCCTGATGATGGAGGCAGCAAGGACCTCTGTAATATCGGTAAATTTCTACCAGACTACACGGCATAACAATCCAGAAGACAGCCATCTTCAGACTCACTGTCGTGAAAACCTCAAATCCTACGGCAGCACAAATATTTTATAGTCAGTGACTGACAAACAGTTTACATGGCCACTGATAGATGATAGCATGATCAGATACTCTGGAAAGCCCTGGAGGTTGCCTAGTTCCTAACGGGCTTCCTTGGTGGGGACAAACTCAAAGATGTGGTAGACACACAGACATGGATAAGCCCATAAGGTGGTCTTTTTCAATTTCACTAAGTATAAAGAACACATAATAACCAACAATCTTATCATTCAATAATCATTATCATAATTTAACAGTTACTATAATTATAATCATCAAATAACAATCATCATTATCATCTACAATAACAACAACTATTATCACCATCAAATAGTAATAATTTATAAGGGGTAAAGCATTCACATTTACCAAGTGTCCCTGTTAGACATTTTGAAAAGCAAAAAATAAATGTTTTACTTTGATGGTTCGGTGGTGCTCCATACAGTGGAACACAGAAGAACTGCGTAGATAAAGTGCATCGTTAGAATCGTGCTTATTCCTCAACTAGCTGGCTACTAGTAAGCCAGGTAGTCAAGCTGCAGAGAGTGGCCTAACAATGCTACGCTGCTTGGAGTTGGCTAATGATGCAGTCAATCAGGTGGTTCCACTGCATCCACAGAACTGTTTGTCTAGCATCTCTGTCACTTTCTCTTCCAATTCAGCTTAGCACTTGTTTAATTAATTCATTTTTCTTGTGCACAGCTCGCAGTACATAGGCTGCTTAATATTTTGTCCTGGCCACCACTCATTTTTCTCATCGTAATTTTTTATTTCCTCTGGTTGTTCACTCTTGTGGGTTCTTTGAACTGAAAGATGGATTGATTCCAAACACTATTAGGTTCACAATACTTCCTTGATTAATGCCCTATAATTTCACATATCACAGTTTTGATTATAGATACTCAGTTTCTGGGCTTGTATTCAGTTAAACCACTCATGTATCCAAGTTTACGCTTGACTAGTTCTAGACGTCTGTTTACCAGCAATCAGCACAACTCACTCACTCAGCTTACACAGTCATAAAAATGGCCACAGAAGAGTTAATTTATGTAGTGTGTTCCAAAACTTTCCAGAATAAACAATGCCAGCAAACGGGTTTCTACTTTGGACGTCAGAGTCACAAAATTTACCGGTGTCGGCATGCAAACAACCCCCCCAGTAGTGGCATGATATACAGCCAGCTGCCTGGAGTGTTGTCACAGCTAGCCATGCGATAATAATAAACAACAAATAATGATCATTTAATAATTATTCAATGTCATTTAATAAGCATCATCAAATACTTCACATGGCAGCACAAATGGTTTATTAGGCAACTGATAGATAGCAGCAAGATTCTTCAGCTGAAGCATATTAGTGAGACAGACAATCAGACAGAATACGCCCATAAAGTGTTCTTTGCTTTAGATGCCTGCATAGGCCAAAATTTTAGAATCTTACCTGAGCTAACCTGAGGATCATTTGCCCCAAACCCAAGATGTATCTTCAAATATGTTATTTATTCCTGACCAAAGTCTGACTTCCTTGTATTCCAGCCTAAATGAAGCCCAATCTATTTATAGTCTGCCCTGACTATCATGTCAGTAGTATATGTTTTTGATGCATAAATGCCAACAATCCTTAAACTATTTCACAATACTCTGAAGCACTGAGAGGGGATTCCCAGGAAACTCATTCTCCAAGAAGCACCTTCAGCGAATCCCGAGAGTAAGCACCTTTACGAATTAACAGATAACAATGAACTAGTACTCACCCTTCTGAACATTATCTTTCTCAGTGGCGCATGACACTACTTGACTCTCTGCTTTTTCTAGTTGCAACTGCAACATTTCCTGCCGACGGCAGACTGCTTGGAGGGCTCCAGCGTAAAAGAGATATTCCTTTAGTTGATCTGCAAACAGTTCTTCTTCCTCTAGGGGGATGTCAATACCAGCAGCTACTGAGTCCAGGTAGTGCCCTGCTTTCTGCAAATGAGAACAACACTTCTTTCAATTTAACCTCAAAATAATTTTATAACTTGCCATCAAGTTAGTTTGTGGAATAGCTATTGATTCACACTGAATTATAAAATATATTTAATTAAAAAAATTATATTATAATAACTTTATTTTAGATGTGCAAACATTGTTTATAGTGAGTGAATCATAATTATAACATGATTAATGCTTTTAAAACTTCTAAGTAGTTACATTATCTAAATTACTGTATGGAGTAACCCAGACTTTATTTTGTATTCCTGAAAACTAATCAGCCTAAAAAACATTAAGACACTTAATGAGTGCTTTAACTTCCACTGCTAAAGTTCAAAATCAAAGGCATATGTACATTCCACTGGCTGGATTACCTAGGAGCTTGCTTGGCCATCCCACTGGGGATTACAAGATGATCAGAATCCTCAATAACTTTTGCTTCCACCATTTCTGTCATATGTCCACAAAAGTTGTCTAAAACCAACATGGCCCATTTCCACACCACTTTAAACCACTGGAGGATAACCTTCTCAGTTATCCACCCTCTTTCTTGAACTCTTACAATAATTCCTGGTGGAAAGTTACGTATTAAAACTGTTTCTCCAACAAACCAGAAGATGTCTGCAGACAAATTTAGTGTGACAATGATTTCCAATTATGAATTTTGTGTTTTCTGTTGCTCTCAAAGAAAAGCCACCAACAATTATCTGACTGATTTAAAATATGAGCGTATCCAGGTCAATTTTATCACAAAACACCGCCTGCAACAACGAATGCTAACTATGCATGCTTAATCTTCAGACATCATACTACATAATCATTTTTTCTTTAAATTTGTTTTCACTACTTATATTTTATTTACTCTGAAGCATGTTACGCATGAATATTTTATTTTTTCATTTCCCAAACCAAAAATTAAGGCGTGTTACGCATAAGCATTTTGGTGAATCAGAATGTTAGAACGTTTGAGGAAAACAAAACTTCGAGTGCAATAACTCTGAAATCAACAGACACAGGAAGGAAATTTTTTTATATTTATCATTACTCATCTGACTCTGTAGGCATGAAATATGTAACTGAAATCCATGTCAAATGCTCTGTTGATTTTACATAAACTGCACAAAGTCCAAGAATTCTGGTAGAAGAATTGCAGATCCACTTCCTGTTTACTGCTGCTTGACAGGAAGTGGACTCTTCCTTAACACAAGTGTTTTCTGCACACTCTGAGTAACAAACACACTTTAATTTGAGTATAATCTCCAGGCTAATCACAGTAAGGGAATTAAGTATTACACAGATACAGGTGCATACTGTATACTCATACTCAGTTGCATCTGCCTGGCTTGGGGAAAATGGCAGGGTTAAGTGATGATGAAAGAAAAGACTTGTGTCTACAAAGAACAACATTCTGTGCAAGCCAGCAAATTAAGCTTTAAGAGCAATTTAAAAAAGCATCTGATCATAATAATAAGTGAAGGTAACTATTGCATTGGGAATAAAGTCAGGGTGCCTCCTGCATGGAGAACAATGACTTGCATATGTCTTACATCATACTTTTTGATCAGAATCATCCTGTTGTTTCTCGTCTTCTTCCATGGAAAACTAAGCTCCTCCACAGTGCTTCTAAGGCGAGTGCTACCGAGGTTGAAATTAATCCTGTCACTCAATTTTGCAAGTAGTTTAGAGATGGCTGCTGACAATGTCTCACAGACAGCTGTGGTTCCATGGTCATTAATGGCCCATCCCTTCCTCATTCATTCCTATTATACATTCATTTCAAGCACTTTATGACGGGAATGCACAAAAAATATTGACAATGAAATACCTGCAATCCATCTCCCATTTCCCTTTCCTTCGCACTCCACTCACTGAAGATATGGCCATAATTGGCATGGAGCTTGTGTATCCCATACAGTCGTTCCACCATCCTGGCCCGCACACGCAACAGGTTGCCGAGGTTAGTCTGTAGAAAACAACAATACATCGCATGACTTCAAAAAGTAATACACCTACTGAACTCTGTCGTTCAGAGGTGATAGCTGTGCAGCTAGTCAACAACCTTAAATGGAACCCAAAGGTTCATTACTGTGTTCACTGGACACCATTATGAACCAAATTAATTAAATCTACACATCATCTGTTTATTTAAGATTAATTTCACCCTCAAATTTATGAATATGTCTCTCCAAAGGGTCTCTTTCCTTCAGGTTTTATGCCTATAATTTGATATGCATTTATCTCCTTATGTGTGTTACATGTCCATCCCACTGCATCTCCACATGATTGATAATGCTAGTAACATCTGGTGAAGACTGTCCCCTACAACTACATTAAATATATGTATAAAGTGCTTTATTCAGGGATGTTCACAGAACAGAATTAAGAAACTGTCAACTTTGAAATGGGATGCAGTCAGAATTCTTGACACATGCAGTAACATGAGTGTCACTTAAAGAACAAAATCAAACTGGGATGAAAATGAAATTGGCTTGTGAACAAAGAAGAAACAGTCCCACATATCAAGAACTTCCTCACCTTCGGGACTCTTGTTGAGACATGGATAGTGTCACAGTTTCTTGAATTGTAGTGACTACTAGGTGAATAGCCCACTGCCATCAGACAGACATAAAATTACCAACACTGGAACTCTGATTTTGCGTCCCTTACTCTTAACACATAAATGCAGCTCAGTGAATAAAATCATGCAGTCCACAGGATTTCAACCTGTGGCCCATTCACATGTTTTGTGTTATCCATTCATATTTCTGTAATATTGTACCACCACACATGATGACACATTGGTTACTGCTTAAATTAAATGTTTGATTATAGGTGAATAGCTAAGAAAAATAACAAACAAATTTGTTACCGAAAGTAACTGACTAATATGTGAACATGTTGATCTAGAAATTTTAAGTTTAATATGCTGAAAGGGATGTGTACTGTGAAACAGTGTTTGTGGTTGACCAAATGGGACTATATTGTCCTGCTACATGATATTATTGAACATTTACAGAAACAACACCTTGTGTGTCTAAAATTCTTCTATAGACTTCTGAGATTGTCACAGATCCCTTTGTAATTTAACCACCCTCTTTAAAGAGTGTGTTCTGTTACTAACATCCCCCTGAAACCAGCAAGAATGTTGGAATGTTTAAAATAGCTCCCTCCAAGACACTGTTCTTTCTCTGCTGTCCAGCAAAATGTCAAATCAAGACAGAAATATATGATAATGCTTAAAAAAACCGTTCGTATAGCCAATGTTTTCATAAAATCCACTCCTCCATTTTCTTGTTATTTCAATAGGATAGGCATGTCTTGCTAGAGCACTAATGGCAAGCTGTGGTTACTTGGCTTGATATTAGAGGCTCTTTTTTCTTCATATGTGCTTGTCTGGTCTCCCAGCTGATAAAACACAGAATTGACTTTTCATCTTCTGCTACATAAATAATTATTTTATCCCACTGTCACCTTGTAGCAGAGAAAAATGAACGCTGGAGATAGGATGATTTTTCCCCAAGAGGCAATTCTGACATGTGTGCTCTTTGTTTGCCTTCAAATTGTCATGTAATGGAACAAATGTGCCTGTATGTCTGCATGGTTCAGGTCACTTCTTTTGATTCCCAGCCAATAAGAAGCCAAGGCACTGACAAAAAGAAATTTTAAAAACAGAAACAAGGGCTTGTAATACTGAACTAACTATCAGTACTTCACCACTTTTGAATTTGTTACACAGGTGTCAGCTGGAGGGGGAGAAATTGATTTTATTACAACAAAGATTATGTCATTCTGAAACAATGGTACAGTGTGTTAAAATGTTCCACCCCTTTAATTCCATCTATTTACCAGCATGTCAAAGAATACACAGAAAAACGGGAACAAAATAGGAGAGAAATGAGAATTATGGTGCTGGTCCCAATTTTAAGACTCTGGTAAGCAGGAAAGTTGATTCATCCTTAACAGCCTGCATTTCATTCAGAGATTCTGCATTAAAACACCAATGAACAGACTAATTCACTTTATGATACTCTCTGCACTCTAATGTGTTTAAATAAGAAGTTAACATGACCATAACACCCTGTATCATAATGGTTAATAAATTGCCATGAAATTTCAGTAACTTGGTGGACAGCAAGTCAATAAGTAAAGCCAAACTCCATTCCAAGTATGAAAATCCAATCAGTCAACCTCAAGTTATTATATGGCAAAATGAATAATCTGGTACAGTGCATTACAGTTTTCAGCCACTCTTTACTAATCTATTTCCCAGTATTTTAAAGAATAGAAAATAAAAGGAAACCAAAACAGAAACAGTATATAAATTATGCTGTCAAGATGATAATTTACAAACTTTGGTTTTGTGGGGAAAATGAATACATCCTTATTATCCTAAATTCTATTCCAAATTGTAGGTTAAAACTACAATGAATAGACCATGATTTTATAATCATCTGTACTTTAACTAACTAGATGGCTTAGGGAACCTGAAGGTTCATTACTGTATTAACCAAAGCCCCGGGCCAGCAAAATCCATTCACCATCATCTGTACTTTAAAGCATTTAAATGTCCATTTAATCCAACTGTAAGGTTAAACAAGTAAATTTAAATTCCTATAACTTAAAGGTTAACAGTATTGATGGACAGGATAAAACTAATCTAAGTATAAAATCTACAGACAGTGAAGTTGAAGGAAGACACTCTTCATCTGGGTCATTACTGATGAAGTCCAAGCACCATTAAGGTGACTAATGACATTACGCATACACATTTCAAATCAATAACAGGTTATACAAATAGTTTGGTCATATATCTCTCATGATCACCATGGAGAAGAAAACTCAAGCAGTTTCAGGTTTATAAATTGCCACTGAAATACATACATATCGAGCGTTCATTTGGGTTACACTCTTTATTTCAGGTTAGACAGCTCTTGGATGTGACTTACTCAATTGGTCTAGTAGACATATTTTCTAGGTGCGTATTTTGAAGAGAAAAAAACCCTTCCAAATCCTTAAACCAATACACATTCCATGATAGAAACTAACTTCTCATATATGCATGCAAATATTATCAACACCAGAGAATGGAAACACCTTTCTGCAACAGAAGGCTTTGCTCTTTCATGACCTACCATATGTTTTTACACAGCACAGCAAAAACACATTAAGTGTTAATGACAATGGCAAACTAAAATTTTGCAGCTTTCTTAAGTCTGATCACAAAACTTTTATTTTTCCCAACAGTAGGGTGATGCCTGCTTTCAAGAGTGGTCGCACACCCTTTTAGACGCTTCTGCTGGCTCAGATTTTCAATAACTGTACAGAATTCTATATACAGAAGTCAGAGCTTGCAATAAGTGTACTACTTTACTCTAATCAATGTACATATATTTTTTTTTAGTGTTCTGTCTGACGACAGGTCCATATGAACAGGATCCTTCCATCCTTTTCTCGGACTGGGACCTGTTCATATACGTTCTTGGCAGATGATCCAGAAGTGGTTTGCCATTGCCTTCTTCTGTGTGTGAATGGAGTAATTGTTGGGATGCCACGGAGGAACCGAGGAAGCCCCCGGAGGAAAACTCTGTGTTGCCTAGACCACGGCCTTGCCCAACACAAGTTATAAATTCGGGAACGTGGAGTTAATGAAATAGAAATATACAATACATCATAAGTAATCAAACTGCAAGGGCCATTTATGCTCTCTCTTCTCAATCTACTCTAATCTAATTTAGATGACATGAATTTTATACTGTGCTACAGAAAGGTAACTCCACTCATTTCTTCTACAATTATCAACAGTACCTGTAACTCATTTCCATAGTTTTTGATCGCTTCAAACCTCTTGTCAGGTTTCTTCAACCTTACAGCCACACTCAAAGCTTTCAATTTGGATTCAGCCAGCTGCAAACAGCCTGTAACAACATGAAACAAGTCTCCAACACTTCTAAATATTATTTAATTTTCATTTTAGCAAAAGATTAGAACAACACAATTCAATACTGATAACTTGAGAAAGACATCATTTACTTGTATATAGTGGTATCCACAAACAACTTCCAGTATTTAAAATTGAAATATTTAATAATGAATGTGACAATACAACAAAACAAATCAAGCAATTAGTCCTCTTCTACCCGTCCGCTTACTGGAAGCAGGGAATTTGATGACTGAACACATCACTGGTATGTGCAGACATGACATCTTGCTGTAGGATTATGTTGGCACATCCTTCACGCTATGGGGAAATATAATTCCCTTGCTTGTCCAAATACATGTTACTATTTTTTTTATAATGTAAATCAATGGGAAGTCAATGACATGTGTTCCTGGCACCCAAACATTGACGACTTAAGTTCCTCAAAAATTGACTTCGCCTTATCCGTGACAGCAATTTCAGTTAAGGGAATGTTTTTTGATTCATGTCACTCACCCATAGCAACAGTAATTTCTCCGTTCTTTCTAAAAGTTTACTTCTGCTATAACTCACTTGCGTTGCACTTACTCTCGTAGCCTGTTGCATTGACTGTTTTATTTTATATGAATTTTTCATTATGGTGGTCACAGTGGAAGGAGGCAACTTCATACTTCTGCACACATTACGACGGGTATCACCACCTTCTATTCTACGAATTACGTCCGTCTTATCTTCTAACGCAATAGACCTACGCAACTTTTTAGCAACACATTCACTTCTCTTACCAGACATGGTGGCTCTTCTACAATTTATAAATATAAAACAGTTGCTACTGCAGAATAGTTGTCGAACAACACAAACACGTTTAGCACACAGTTTTCAGCACATTCAATGTGTCAACAAGAAGCGAACTGAGCACAAATGACTCACCGTGAAGAGTGACCAATGCTCACATGAGTGTTGCACAATGTTGGCAGATTTTTAGGAGATTATCTCGCAACTACTTAGCAATGAGTGCAGAGGTGACTGTATTTATAATTTCTATTCAAAATCAGCGATGTAAGAATTACGATTTAGTATAAGAATCAGTACGAGAAACATTGCAAAACGTTATAAATAATAGTAAAATATATTTTTTCACTTTTTGACTTGCACGTTTCAAAAGCGGCGTTATTCTGAATTGGCGCAAATTGAAGCGGCACAAATCGGGTTTACCTGTATCTACAAAAAGCATATATTTTGGAAGTTTTGCCACTAATTCACAAGACTCAAAACGTTTGTTAAAGTCACATCATACATGTAGTGACAATGTGAGATTTAACTTTATTTGCCTTCCTTCAGTTAATTTTTACGAGACTGAGTTCAATACAACACCATACATTTTGGGGATATGACGCTGACCTTTCATTGCAGCACATCAAACATAAAATCACCTCTCACATTTTATTAATGCAAGTGTCAAGTCTTCTCAGGTGACCAACCACGTGTGGAGTCGGGATCCATTACTTTGTGGATTGTCTCTGCCTCCAATATCAGGGTTGGGATAATGTACAGTGCAAGTAAACACATGCAATATTCTGCAAAGGCGAAGAAGAGTGTCTCTATGATCATTTCGGTGAAGTTATTTGGAAACTAAAAAGTATTAGGCTCATCCCTCCTTTTGCCCTAATTTATGAAGGTAGTATAATTACATGTGAAACAGACTCATCTTGTTATTCTATAACATAGTATTCTTACTACAGATTTATCTTTTTTTCAGAAATATGAAACGCTTCCTCTTCTACACCAATGTCATTATAGATATCTGTTATGCTTAGCACCAACTACACATGTAATTACACTTCTCAGATTTTAGAAAATGCCAAAGCTTACCTGCATCTTTAATACATTCCCTCCAGCTTTCGTCTTGCTGCAAAAACCCGATGAACTGTCGATCAAACGAAATAAGGGGATGTGATGCAACACGAAGCAGAAAATTCTGAAAAGCACAAAATCAACTACTGTTATGTGACAAATCATTACCTCTTCAAAAGGTTAAGGCTTAAAAAAATCACAATAATATAGAGATAAAAACTTGAACTTCACCTTTTACACTACAGTAGGGCACTGCTTATACGACGGGTTAGGGACCAGACCCCCGCCGTAAAGCGAAAATCGCCGAAAAGCGGATCTTTGCCTTATTTCACTTGCAAATGCATATCAAAGCCTAGTAAGATGTTACACTATCATATAGTAAGTGCATAATAGCGCTAGGCCTAAGAAAACGATATGAAATTAAAATGAATATCAGTGATACACACATTGTCCTCAGCTTATAGTGATTGGTGAATATAAATTTGAAAATTGATATGCTTATAGTAGGAAGGATGAAGGAGATGGCGCATCTTCATCATCTGACTCTTCAACGAATCTTATTCGTTTTGGTGATGGTTCGGAAGCCATAGACATGCCTTGTTCACGAAGTTTAATCATCTCTAACTTGGCATTTAAAGTAAGAGGCTTACGACTCCTCTTTTTATCGCTACTACCCTTAGACGCCATTGTAATTACACTGTAGTAACACAAAAATATTATATAAATATACAGTTTGTAATAACTGAAAAATTGCCAGAAATACAGAGAGACGTGGAGCGCACAAAAGCTGTAAACAGACTGAATCAGCGACGAGAAAATGGCGCCGGACACACTTCTCTGAATCAGCTGTTGAGCGCCGTATTAGCGGATCGCCATAAAGCGGAGCGCCGAAAAGCGGGGCCCTACTGTACTCTAACCTCTGAAAATATTTTCATACATTACACCCAAGGCATCGGAGGTATCTAACTAAAACAGTGTTAGGTGTAATATCACTTCAGGGTCTGACAGACATTTTTTCGAGAAGGTTCGTTACTGTGAAGTCTTCTTTAAATACTCACATATTTAGTCGATCAAAGAAATTATAGCATGGCATTACACACTAATGCATTACTGTTGGTATCCTATCAACTCATTGGTCTAGCCTAAATAATTTGTTAAATCTGCTATCCTTTGTACTCACTGATTCAACTGCTATTGCAATATAACTTATCAAATACTATTATGTGTCATGAAAAATACATTTATGAAAGCCCTCTACTTCCATCTCTGAAAAACAAAACTCTACAACCTGATGGCAGAGACATGCATACTATGGTGGAAGGACTAAAGGTCACTAATCCCATACATTCCCTAAACAATGCTTCTCTCTAAACAGACGTATGAAGAATGGTCATTACAGTTTTCTTTAAAACTGTAACATTATGCAAAATGTTTGCATCCAGATTTGGAATTACCATATCAGAATAAATTTAAACACATACTACTGTAACCTGGATGACCTGTTTATTATAGTAAGTACCCATTTAACTCAGTATCTATTAAATAAAACTTATTCCACTGAAAGCATTCTACTCCATACCACATCAATATAGTAAAACAATTCATGAACACTATGAGACACTAACACAATTGCTATGCTCAATTACCTGAAAGATTAAAGAAAATGTTAGCTGTATTCCAAAAAAGATCAAAACCTTATCAAATGAATAAACATGAAATGCTGAAATTGTAATGTATCTTCTCACCTCAAGTCCTGCCCGACGCCTGTCAACAAAATCAGGGTCAAATGTATCTGAAGCAGCTTTCTGCCAAGCATACAGAACTTTTTTCTCTGGTAATGGAGGTAAGACAATATATGGATATGTCACCTCAAGGCAAGTCCGGAGAAGTTCAAATTCACTGTAACGTCTCCATAATGAACTCAATTTGTTCACAATTCCACTCCAATCCAGATCAATCACTCTGTGAATGAAATAAGCACGCAATTCAAACGACAGGCTCAATGATTACTTGTCCATACTAGAACAGTTCTTATGGCCCTTTACAGAAACAGAATGAAACAAGACAAATTCTTCCATATACTGAGATTTGTACACTTAAAAAGAAACTCAGATTGATATGGGCTGACATAAAGCTTAGAGCAAGAAAAGACTTGACAGACATAAAAATAAAAAGACAAATTAAATGTAAACATGTTAACAGGTACACAACATCCTTCAGCAGAACACAGTTCCTGTGACAAGTATGGAAACACTCTGAAGCCAGCCATAGAACAAGTCTATAACAGACACAGGAGGCAGGCAGACATAAGTGAACACATGACAAACCATTACTCTATTAGCAGACTCACACTGAAAACAAAAAAAGTTATTTTTTCCACAGCTGGCCCTTCTAATCTGAACATTTTCATCCTCTTCACCTCATGTGGTTCAATATATCTCTGAAAATTGACACTTGCCTTGATCAGGGAGCTAATATAACAAAAGGGAAAGGTTCCTTGACCAGAAACCACTTCATAGAGAAGGGCAACCCCTTCTACAAGCCAGCCAACCAACCTGACTTGACACACAATATAATGAACACAAGTTCAGCGCCAGAGAAATAAGACAAACTTAAGATGTTTAAAACTGACTGTGGGATTGTGTGCTTCTTGGCGTATCCTTATTTATTTACTTATTTAACAATGCTTTTTCAGTAGCTCAGACTATATAAGGTGTGACAAATAAATTGGATAAAACAAACTGATGGATTAAGAAACTGAGGGACTGAATTCATATTCACTAACTTTGTTTCTATTAAGTAAACGGTGTAGAAATCCCTTATGTTGAGGGTTCCTGCTTCTCTCTTCTCTGCTTCTGTCACACATATTTCCATACGATCAAGAATGCAATCCTGCAACATAAAATCACAACTGCATCAAAATTAGTTTACACAACAAAGTGTTGTCTGGAAATAATACATACAAGTGTAATAGTAGAGATATTCTGTCTGCTGCTGTGATCTTGAACCTTCACAAGCATGCCAGTTGATGAGGAACTGCACACAGGGTAAGGGAATAAGCACTATGGCAACATAACACCAGCCCATTGGCCAGTTGTAGCAGGGGAGCATGGGCTTGCAGGAATACAATTATCAGCATCAGATGGTCAGATAAATACAATTTAATAAACATACCTATAAGCCAGGCTTCAAAAAATTACTAAAAGTCTCAGTACAGCTTCAGAAAGGTGGAAGCTAGGATGGAAAATCAATATTTTCATAAAACTTTACTGTTTGATAATATAGCAATCCTCTAGCAGTTCCATAGTGAATAATAAATTGTAAAGGATGTGGAAGGAAGCAGTCATGGTCTACTTTTAGGTACTAACATGGCATTTAACTGGAGGGACTGAGGAAACCCACAAAAAACCTCAGCCAGGATAGCCAGCCTCCAGGCTGAGATTTGAACCCGGGACATCTCAAATACAAAGCAGGAGTGATAACCACAACTCGACCACAACGTTAATTGAAGTCTCAGAATTTCAGTAACAGAATAACTGCTTATGAACGAATGGCGACCAAATGATGTATGTACCCAATCAGTCCTTGTGAAACTGCATCATGTCTTGTAATATGCTGAAAGTGGTCATCCTCTTGTATAAAAATGTTTCAGGACTATATAAAAGAACAATACCTAAGTTAAGTGCAGCATATTATCCAAATAAGATATATTTTTCATGCCAGCAATACTAACACACTCAAATCAGTTTACTTTGCCTATTTGCGCTCTCTAATGATGTACTGAATAATACTGGGGAGTTAATTAATCGAACAGCAAAAAGATATTAATTTTGTAAAAAATATTAGATTAATGGCTGATGTCAAACCTAGAAATTCATGTAGAAGTCTATTTAAAAGATCTGCTCTTCAAAGTCAATAAATATTCCAATTAATTAATTTAATTGTAAATAACTAAGAATATTTTCAAAACTACTTCCACTATACACAGTGTCAAAACAAGAAGACTCAACTTCATAGTCCAATTGTTAACCTCTCGTATTTTCAGAAGAGTGCATATTATGCATCAAGTCTCACAAGTCTTTTAAATAAAAAGACACAGTTTAAAGTAGCATTAAAGAGATACTTCATTAAACACACCTTTTACTCTGTTGATGAATTTATAATGTTTACAAATAAGTCACAGCAGACATTAGGATATTCTTGTCTTTATCTCCTGTATGTAATGGGTGGATTTATTTGGAACATCCTTTATTTTATGTGAAATATGTATAAAAGTACTGTATTATTATGACTTATTCCACATCTTATTGTCATCTGACCAAACTTCAAAACTGTGTTTATATTTTCATTGGCATTAATTATTGTTCATGTATTCAGCATTGTTCCACATCCTTGACTTGTACTATGAAGGGCATATGGAACACAAATACATTTTATTCTATTCTATTCCGTCACTATCTCTGGTAACATTATGAACTAATATGTACTCATGTATTATTGAGCAACTTACGATTGTTGTCACATGAATGTGATACGACAGGAAACGCACATAAAACATACCACTAAAAAAAACTACTGAAAACATGCAAATGATGCCAAAATTACACAAACCTTTTTTTTATGTTCTTGTATTTCGGTATTAGCATTTCCCTTCTCTTTCAAACTTTCACCAATACAGTTGTCTTCCATATTTGATAAATCGGCAATGCTGCCACCTATTGGAAAGATTTAGGTACAGGTTGTACAGTCAGTTCACAAAAACCCACGTACCATATTCCCATTCGTTCTTCTGTGAAGTAGTCAAGGCTCTTAGTTATTTTGAGTACATTTTAGATATTTGAGGTTTGACATTGTCATCGCAGGGAACCCAGACAAATTTATATGCAAAACAACATGTAGGCGAACAATTTTCTATTCTGCCGCATCACCACTACCTGCGTACGAGTACAGCAGCGAAGAACTCTTTCACAAGTTACTTCTTCACCGAATGGTTTAATTTACCAAATCGATTATTTTACCTAATGGCCCTGTGGTAAATTAGATTCATATGGCAAATTCACACGTTCCGCAAACGTTAAAATAAGCGATTCAGAGACGGGGTCCTACCGAATTCACCTCCACAAAGTTAAGTTAACCGATCGGCTCACGTTGATGGAATGACGTTCACAAGACAGAGAGGCATTGCTGATTTCACATGGTTCGTTTATTTACCTAACGATGGTCACGTTACCATTTATTGAAGAGAGGCTATCACTGTAGGACAGGACTTTGGAAACATACAAATACAAGGATCTCACAATAGAGGGAATGTGCAAAATTGTTCATCCAGATTTAGAGTTATTGGACGTAAGAAACAGTAATAAAGACAAATTATCCACAATTTTTCATCATCACAAAATACAGCAACACTGATTTCAACGAGACCAGTGTGGGTTTCTCCTTCTGCTATCGTTTCGATGGTTTCACAGATTTTGTCCATTGGGTACCGGCGTCCATTCCCTGGGGTAAGGCGTGGATGGGGCGTGACGCTGACCACACACCCGTCTAGTGCTGAGGTCGTGAATCCCCCAAGCACCTATATGGCGTGTAGCGGGGCACCTTTACTTTTATTCAGTTAGGCATACGGTCATACGGCTGTATGGCTATGAGGAAGTGCAATCACAGTGATTAACAAAACGAGTCCGATCTCCTTTAATGTGCCTTGAGAGCTATAAATTGGTTCAAGATCATATTTCTCTTCAATATTTTGAGGCTTGAAAAAACATGCTTCTACAGATGTAAGATATATGTATAATACTTAAACTACAGCTGTTGGATATACAGTGAACCTCCTTTACTAGTAACTCATGCATCAAGCACTCTTAAAACTATGGAAGTTACCATCATTCAAATGATTATAATTATTCAGCCTTTATTTTTCAGATTGTCATAAATGCACTATTAATAAGAGGATTGTACAAGCCTAATTGTGACAAATGTAATCATCTGTAGTCAGGAATGTTTTGTGCACATTTCCACAGATAATTAACTTCATTATACTAATTTTACATACCACATACAGTTGCGATGCTGGTTGTTATCTGTCTTGTTTCAAGTATCAGCTTATATGGCTCATCCCATTAAACTTAACCTGAAGGGTAATGATGGGAAGTAATAGAACTAGGCTATTGCATTATCATTTACTAATCCTCTGTTAGCTTTGGAGATTATTAGTATTTTTAACTTTTGTGTCTCCAGAATGCTTGAAGTATCACCACAAAGTATACAAGAATTTTCTTTCATTTATTTCATAAATAACTACTATCAAAATACAGGTTCTGTAGCAGCTCAATTATTCACAGATAACCAGGTGAGAATAATAAGATCACAACGTCACTTACAGAATGATATATGGCACTGAAATTGTTCAAGACTGCAGGAAAATATAACGTGGAACTATGAACTGCAAAGACAAAGATTTTGGCATTCCAAGGCAAATAACTAATAAGAGCCCAAACTGTATTGAATGAAAAACTAACTAAACAAGTCATCACTGCATTTAAATACTGGGGTATAAAATGAATCTTAACCATTAATATGAAACTAAATACTTTTCAATATATGTGTCACACAATTAAAAGGATATCGGGTGGTACAAGAAGATTTCTATACTAAGGCTGCGCAGATCAGAGTGTGGAATCCTAAACAAACAATAAGGAAACTAAAATGAGGTTCCTAAAGACTGTTGCAGGTTATAGTAGAACAAATATCACAAACCAAGCAATCAGACAAAAACTAAACATACAAATTTAACATCCTAGAAAGAATATCTGAATATCAAACATTATTTAACAATATGGAAAAAATTGATGAAAGTAGTTTGAAAATATTTTACCACTAAATACCAAAAGGTAGGAAAGGATGAGGTAGGCCATAGAACTAATGGAGTGATCAATTTTGACAGGGACATTTTAATAAGACTAACTGCTGAGGTTAATGATGATAAATCAACTTATCAGCAATATAACTAAATGATTCAGCACTGTTCATTGTATTGATTCTTTGTTAAAGAAAAGTCATCAACTTCAGTAGTTATGTAGTGCCTAAGGGTAGGGTAATTTGTAAATTGTGAATTGGAAACTATGTGGAAGGAGGTGCCATCGAACCATATAGAGAGACCACATTGAGGACAGCGAGTCCTCTGGATCATGCTTCAAATATGGGACCTGCCATATACAAAACAGTTATGACATTCAGCCAACATTAAATTATTTCACATGTGGTCACCATCTTCTGAGGTTGCAGTCTAATTAGCATGTCTTATTAATAGTCCTGAAATTCCTTTTTACTGTAATATTAAAAAGGTTATGCAACTATTGTTAAGACCATTTTTTTGCTGAATCTAAAATACTATAACAATATGGCAGCTACAAAATGATATATGTAACTTGTACCATTGGAGATTGGCATGTGAAGGTTTGTATGGAAATAGATGTCTACACTAAACTATTGTAGTTTCCCAATATAGGCACTACTTATTCCTGTTCATAGATGGCTGTAAACATGGTTGTGACATCGAACAAAGCAGTCAGATTAGACACATCTCACTGAGGATTAGTCATTCAAATAGGTTTAAGATAACAATACTTCTTAGAGAATACTGTTAAGAATTGGCTACAGAGCTAATGGGTAAGAACTAAAAGAAATCCCATTCGGAATGAACGAGAAATAAGCAGGAACTTAATGTACACAATTACAACCAGTGGGCATGGAAGCGTTAGATGTGCCAACAACAAATGGGCAAATCAACAAATTAACCATGTAGATAAGAGAACCAACAGTATAAATATCTAGTAGCACAACACACTTTACTGTAGGTGTAATATACTACCGATTCCTTAAAATACATTGATGAAATACAACCAACAGCACCATTAAATATATAATTAACCCTTCAACTGATTTCAAATATAGAGTATGTCAAGCATTTAAACATCTTATTTGCAGTTTCCCATACACTGTACATTCAGCTGCACTTATATGGCCTCTCGTGACAAAACTAAGAATTATAATGTGATGTGGATTGAACTGAGCTATGGTGAATGCCCAGAACATCTTGTCTGTGTAGCAGAAACCTTGGATAAAGGAGCAAGTGGCCAGCCAAACAAAGAAAATTAAGTTTCTACACAGGTTATGACAAACAGATGGAAATGGCAGGGATAACAATAATTCTTTTCTGGTAGGATACACGAACACTTAGTGCCAAACAAAACGTTTTGTGGAATATGTAGACCACAGTTCAATGATATTGACTTGGATATTGCTCAAATGTTCCCAAAGTTTTTGTTGTTGTAGTTCTTATGTAATATATTGTAGAATAAACTAACAAATATGCACAGCACCAAGTTGCAAAAAAGTGTCATGCATTTCACATATTACTCCAGGATGTTCTAAATTACATTTTCTTTTGTGAAATGCTACCTCTGGAAAGTATTGAGCTCAATGTCCAATTTTTTCATTTCATTGATAACCTTACAGTTCATGAATATCAAGGTCCTGTCAAACTTTTCAAAATTTGTCCAACTGTTCAACACTTAAACAAAAAAAAATTCAAAATCTGTTCCTCCAAAAGCAGTATATTGTTAAAGATGAACCATTGA